CAACCTCCAACTCCTGGGCTCAAGCGAGTCTCCTGCCTCAGCCTCCCAAGTAGCTGGGACCACAGGCACCTGCCACAACACCCTGGCTATTTTTTGTTTGCAGCCATCATTGTTGTTTGGCAGGCCCGGGCTGGATTCAAACCCGCTACCTTAGGTGTATGTGGCTAGTGCCTTAGCCACTTGAGCCACAGGCGCTGAGCCGATCCAATTTTAAATAAATAGCTCATCTCCCTTTAAATTATAGCACACATTGAAATGTGTCAGATATACAAATTAAATCCTAGTAGCTCTCTAAAGGGTCAGATATGCACTTTACTTTTATTTCTATATTTCAGGTAATATTCAGATATCCTGGATCGATGACACATCAGCATTTGTCTCTCTCAGCCAGCCGGAACAAGTACAGATTGGTAAGCATTTTGGACATCTGTTTTGAATATTAAGTAAAGTAGGAGCTTGCCCTCCCACGTACCCCCCTCACTTTAAAAGCTGTGAGTTCAGTCAACTTGTACACAGGCATTGCTGCCTGGTTTGTTTTTGAACTTATCTCCAAAATAAAGGAAATAATTAGTATTACATATAGATGAGAAAATGAGAGCAGTCTTTTGATTGGTTAGGCATATTGCATGGTGTTTTTTTCCCTAAACCTCTATTCTATTCCTTCCACATTGCACTTTTTCTAAAATGAGGTGCAAATTTACTTTGATAAGTAGAAGTACCTATAGTAAATAGAAAGGAGTGAGGAACACCAAAAAGTGATACCTATGTTGACCTGTATTCTTACCATTTATTTATAAATGTTTGTGATTTATTTACTTCATTAAAGTTACATCATCTTACTATTCTATAAACAAATAAACTGAATGATATTTTATTTGCTTTTAAAATAGGGTCCTAAAAAGTGGAGCACCAAATCTCTTGTTGTACCTTAAATAATTTTAATACTAACCATTGCTAAACATTCTACAGTATTTTCCTAAGTTGAAAAGAAATTGGATTAAAATGTTTAAAATATGTATTGTTAAGCTATATATCCAATGGTGTTTAATGGGAAAGGTGTGGAAAAAATGTCTAATTTTTTTTATTTAACAAAGTGCCACACACTAAAACTATATGATTCTCATAATGTAATCAGTGAATAATTATATATGAAAACTTCTTAAAACATACAAATTCAGATCAGAATATTCTGGTATTTTTAATTATCTGACCATGGCAGAAATACCAACAAGCCATGCTGTAGAGAGTAAAAGGTTAATTGTACTCTATACAATCTATGGTTTTATGACTCCAGCAGGTTATTTAAACTTGATAAGCTACTGCTAATCTTTGTAAACTGAGAATACTAGTATAAACTTGTAAGTGTAATTGAGAGGTTTACATGAGATTGTGCATATAAACCTTTGCATAGCTTTTAGCTTTTATTATGGTTACTAACTTTTAAGTGAGGGGCAGGAACCCTGAGGTTGAGATTGTAGTGAGACTTCAGTGTGACTAAAAGAAAATTAATCCTAAAACTCCCAGTCCTCAGTCTCATTCCATCTCTTCTGCTTAGGGTCCGCTTTTTAGCTCCCTCACTTGTCACATTTGGGTGACATTAAAGTCAGGTAATGGGATGGAAGGAAATGCACAGACTGACATGAGAACTAACTTTAGTTCTACCACTTGCCAGCCATGTGTCTTTGGGAACATTATTTAAGTTCTCTAAGCTACCGGTTCCTGGTTTTGAGAGGGAGATGATAGTAGTTACTTTGCAAGATTGTCATGAGGATGAAATGAGATCAGGTATATTAAGTTTCCAGCAAAGAGCCTGGCATTTCACAATCAGTGCTTGAGAAATGATAGGTAATTAATTTGCTTGGCCTCCCATGCTGTGAACAATGAAAATGAGAGTGTGGGCCAGGAACAGTGGCTCACGCCTATTATCCTAGCACTTGGGGAAGCCAAGGCAGGAGGAGTACTTGAGGCCAGGAGTTTGAGACCCCTATCTCTACTGCCAAAAGATAAAAGAAAAATGAGAGTGGATAAAAGTGTTTTGGAGTTTGTAAAATAATAGTAGTCTTTATTTCAAAATGCAAGCTTAATTTCTTGTTTCTGTATGGGGGATGTCAGAGATTGTTGTGGTATTCCTGTTACTCCATATCTGTTGTCAAATGATGAATGCTGTTTTACTTAGAACTGGAAGATCCTTCAAATTGTAGCTTTAAAGCTAGTATTTTACTCAATGATAACTGAAATCAGGAATATTTGAGAATCATATGTAGCCACAGACGCACTCTATTATATTTGTCTGTCTGCACCTTGGAGCTACTTCCTTGAAGGCAGTGGCAGCATTGGGTTTATCTTGTTCCCACTGAATCCTCTCCCATGCCCAGCACACACCGTGACATGAAGAAATGAATGTGTGTTCAGATGGGGACTATGGGGAATGGGCCAAGGTGAAATGATGATCTTTTTTTTTTCCTTCTAGGTTAAAAAATAGATGACTATTGTCTTTCCTTTACTAGTTTTGCTAGTAAAGTTTAACTTTCCACCACTGTTTTCTTACATGAAAGGCAACTCTTAACAAAACACCTGGCAATTTGAACATGTGGTGCCTCTGACCATAGTTTCCTCTGCCAGAAGCCATCCTTTACTCAGCCCCTCTCCCTCCATAACATGGCTCTGCCACCTTCCTGCAGCTGGAACGTGAGTTTCACGGATGTGTTCTCTGGCTTCCTTTGTAGTCAAGTGGGCCCCGTCTCTCTCCTTACATAGGATCCTTTACACTTCGTTTCTTTGCTTTCACAAATAGACTGTGTACTCTTTGACAGTAGGGACCATATCTCTTGTTCACCATTGTGTTTTTAGTAGAGTAGTAGTGTCTGATGTTAGGAAGTAAAAGTTGAATATTTATCAAATAAATTATATTTATAATGTTATGACTTATGGATGCCTTTTTGCATATGATAGATCTGACTAATATTTCTGATCTTTGATGTGATTTCTAAAATTATTCAGATATTTTGCTGGAAGACAATGGGAAGGTTTTTTATAGTAGTCATTTTAATGATGAGAGGAACCAGGGTATCTGATGTGCTACAAATCCTATTAATGTTATCTTAAACAAATTACTCATTTCAGCAGAAACAGAGGGCCTGTTAGATCAATAATGTAACACTGAAAAAATCATTAAATTCCTTTTTATATAGCAGCAGCTCATAATGCCTTCTTTGGCTCTGTTACAAACTATTTACGTTTAAGGAGTTGCTTTTTAACTGACACCTGTTTTTCTTTTAGCAATACTAATTCAGAGCAAGATTTTTTAAAGCTATTTTCAAGGTCTTAATATGAAAGTTTTATTTCTGTAGGAAATCTTATAGTAATTATTAAAATCCTTCTGGCCAGGCATGGTGGTTCATGCCTGAAATCCTAGCAATTGGGGAGGCCAAAGCAGGAGGATTACTTGAGCGATCTTGAGACCTCCCCATCTTTATAAAAAAAATTTTTTTTTAATTAGCTGGGCATGCTAGTATGTGCCTATAGTACCAGCTCCTTGGGGGGCTGAATCAGGAGGATCACTTGAGTGAGGAGTTGGAATCAGAGTCTGCAGTGAGCTATGATCACCCCACTGTACTCTAGCCCAAGCAACAGAATGAAACTGTATCTTAAAAACAGCAACAAAACCCTTCTAATGAATGCCATTTGGTTTGATTTCTGCTGTATTTTGTTTGTTGCTCACTTTGCAGTGTTCAGATGACCTATGTAAACCATACATTCGGCATTCTTTTCCCTCTGGCCCTTCAGATGAGACAGTACATGGCCAGGAAGGTACTTTATCCATGGAGGAGACCACTTATTCTCACCATTTAAGAATTTTTCTCGATGTGGTCAAGTAAGAAATCATCTTGGATGGTCAGACCTGAAAACCTGGTGGGCCCTACAATCCCAGCTGCTGGGGAGGCTGAGGCAGGAAGATCTCTGGAGGCTGACCTCAAGGTACTCTATCCTGGGGCAACAGAGTGAGACTCCACCTTAAAAAAATATATATTAAATAAGTTTATTTTGGGAAGGAAGCCATATGATTTTTATGCCATAAGTACTGGATCCTAAAAATAGGATACAGTTGTTTCTTGATATCCATTGTAGATTGGTTCTGGGATCCCCTGTAGATATGAAAATCCATTTACCAACTTAGTCTACTGTGAAAAAAATAAAAAATCTAAGAATGTTCCTGTGCATGATATAAAACAGTATAGTATTTGCATATAACCTGTATGCATCCTCTCATATACTTAAACAAATCTCTAAATTGGGGGAAGAGGCAAGATGGCCGACCGAAGCCAGCTTTCAGCAGAGGGAAAAATGATGGCCAGAAACAACCCAGTAAAGCAGAAGATTGGGAGCTGAGCTGAGAAAGAGGATCGATAGGTTCGCATCACCCTTGCTGATGCAAGCTGAGACTCCAAGGAAACAAATTTCAGGTACAAAACCCATCTCAAAGAGTACAGGAATCCTTCCCCTCCACCCACCCCCCAATGAAAGCAGCTCGAGGCAAGTAGAGAACAGAGGACCTTTTATTTCACCAAAGGGGAGAGAACAATTGAGGACCAGGACTCCTTCCATAGAGAGATCCTGCTGCAAACCTAGGCAGTCTCTTGTCTGGGCCAAAAGTTGATCTAATATTCTCCCTATCTTTCTAAAGTACCAATCCACCCACCCCCCCCCGGTGGTCTGGAAGACTACACACTACAAAATCTGGAGTGTTTGGCAGATTTTTGCTAGGGCATGGCATCTCATGAGCTGTGGGGCAGTTGTGCTGAAACTATAACTTTAATAGAGGTGGGGAGTCACCAGGGAAGAGAGACTTGCTCTGTGTTGGAAAGAGCATAGCAGGATCATCCCACTGACCACCCGGGATCTGGCGGGTGCTGCTGGCACGCCACCCGCAGAGCACTGCCCACTGGCTCTCTGCACCTGTGTGGCTGGCAACCTGCACCAGGTCCAATGTCCTGGTCCCAGCTCCTGTGGCCTATGAGGCCCATGGCCGGCAACTCTGCCCTCCAGCTCCCCGTCTCCTGCGACCTACACACAGCAGTACCCCAGACTGACAGCACCACCCCCAACTGTGGCAGCTCCACCCCTGACAGTGGTGGCAGCTCCATGGTCTCTCCTACTGGGGTCAAGTTTGGGAGAGAAACCTCCCTAATCCTGTGGAATGTGGGGGAACATCACCTGACCTGCAGGGGTTCCAGAGGTGGAGTGTGGCCAAGGCAGAAGTGTGGTCTCTGAGGGAAAGAACCATAGTCCTCCACAGTAACCCTTGGCTGAACACAGACACAGGTGGAACACTCCCCAATTTTTAATGATTGCCAGAAGGAATTAGGCCTGAACTAGTCCCACCTGCAAGTCTCACAGCGAGATGGTCCAG